TAGGAACTAGTTGGGACATCATAGAGACTTTGGATTATTATGGCGATGTAGTAAAAATGGTAAGTAAAAATGTGTTGTTTTGGTGTAAGGAATATGTTTGGATCAGTAATTGTTGCCCGCTAAGTTTAAGCCAAGACAGATTGAAGACCAGTCTTCTCCACCCCAGTTTTTGGCCTTGGGACACATTGTTGTATTTTCAAAATAAATATTACTCTCCTTTTTTTTTTTTTACTTAGACTTCATGAATTTAAGCGCGGTACCAGATTTGTGGCAAGGTCTTATCATTTTACAGTTGAAATGGATAGATGTAACCGTAAGTCCTATGCTAATATTTTCTTCTCTCGTACTTCTTGCTTGTGAAACTCTCTTCCGGTTTCTTGCTCCCCAGTCAACTTTTATCCTCAAAAATTTAAATGTAATATCAATCATTATCTTCTGTTTTCCTAATCTTTGTTCTTTTATTAGTCACTTCCCTTAATAGCTCATACTCTTTAGAGCTCATTAAAGCACTTTTTTAGTCTGTCTATATTTCTGAGATGAGGTATTATGTACATTATTTACATTATTCGGACTATTGTCCTCATCTTTGTCGCCATATTTATCACAACGTTTCGGCCGTTGTACGCTCCGGCCTTCTTCAGGTGGTTGGAATGTCGAACTGAACCCTTTATTTCGCTCACTGAGGTGGACTGCTCTCGTTCCGCGAGCCATGTTTGATGGATGTCAGTTATCAGTTATTTCCTGTTAATTTCCCTCTGAAAGTTCTCCACTGCCTTAACCTTAGCTTTGTGATAAATATGGCGACAAAGATGAGGACAATAGTCCGAATAATGTTAATAATGAGCCCATTTTTAGTCGTTCAATGGTATTCATGATTCGTTGATTACTGCTGATATTATATAAATCACTTTTTGTTCAATATCTTTACATGTTCAAAATTTTATGTGTTTAATATAAAAGTAAAATAGAAATATCTCTCGGAAGAAAACGATTAGCAACAAAACGACAAAGACGGTGACAACAAATCCCGTTTCTAGACGAAACTGATGCAAGATGATAAATTAATACACAAAAGTATCTGAGTGCCTCACATGAAAGGCTTGAACAACTAAGACTGTAATCTAAGAAACGTAGGCATAATTGAACTGATTAATTATGCGGATAAGTTTTTTTGGGAAACAATTTTATCTAAATGCTTATAAATATTTTATTTGTATAGATTATTAAAACTATTAAACGAACTAATCACTCATAAATTTAAGTTGATTTTTCTCCTTTCTCATCACAAAATATTTTAATTAAATAATCAGTATATTTTCTATATGATAAGGATCATTTATTGATATTACTAAAATTTTGTATGTACACCAAGCATTACTGAACATGAATTTTTTTGTTTTGGAGACAATGATTTAGTGATTTTCTAGATTTTATGCACATATTACACTTTGAAAGTCTGAACTTATTTAAACAAATTTGTCTTTAAAACAAGAAAATATACAACATTTTAAGCATTAACTCAATCCTTCGTTGTCGTATTCCGTGACTAAAGAAATATTTAGATTGTTAGTACAGTAAATGCCTGAAGCTGAGTTTAGGAGTAGCGGTACAGTCAGTGGACATCAAATGCAAAAAGATATTTGTTTAGTATGTGAAGTTGCTTGTAAATGAAAGAACGATAGGGATAGGTTGACGATTTAAATAGATTGATTCACTGCTTTTTTCTCTCCGGTGAGCTTTTGTAACTTTTTCCTTTCGAAGCCAGACATAAGATGATGTCTTCTCCTCTCTCTTCCACCCCGTGACATTGCCAGCAATTCTTACATACCTGCATTTCGTCTTCAACTATCTCATTACGTTTCTTTCATTTTTATTTCGTCTTATCTTCCACTTGTATCTCTCTTTTTATTTTCTCCTACTAACCTCTATGTCGTTTTGACTTTCAGATCTGCCATTTGTTTTTCACCGAGAAAAAAAAATGTAGTATCATTCGAATAAAAATTTCATTTTTAGCGCCAAGGACTGAACAAATGATAGCTTTAAAAAAAACACTACCTTCGAATAGCTAGCCTTTACTTCCTCTTTGTAAAAAAGCTTTTATTTCTTAGAATATCTCAGGTATGTGTGAGTGTCGCAAGAAATGATAGGTGAAAAATAAATGAAAAAAAATGTTTAAAATAATTTCTGAAAGGTTAGAAAAGGCTAAAAAAATAATTTCGTGTGACATCAAAAAAATTGATGTTATATTAAAATAGTTCACCTTATCTACCCTGTCACTTTCTGAGGTTTCAGTTATCCGCGACCAAGTGTAGAAATATTTCATACGTTTTAGTTAATAATGACAGACGTAAGAGATTCAGGTAATTCGAATAGGTCAATTGGTAAAATGAAAGAGATTCATTTAAGTGTGAAAAAAAAAAAAAAAATACTGAGGTGACTGTAGTAAGGGAAATTTCTAAGCGTAGCTTCGATGCGGGACAAAGCCAAAAGTAAGGGTTACCCAGTAAATATCGAATTTACTATTCAACCGCAATTTATCTAGTAAAACCAGCTTGCTAACCATTACACCACATCAAAGTGCCCAGCGGGCCTATAGTAAAACGTCACATAACTTTCATTACAGTATATTGTTATAATTGTCGTATTTTATTATTAGCAATTATTGTTAGTCTCTTGTGCCTAATAACATCTACATTAAGGGTGAATCCTCCAACTGTTACATAACCTTTATTACAGTATATTGTTATAATTGTCGTATTTTATTATTAGCCATTGTTGTTAGTCTCTTGTGCCTAATAACATCTACATTAAGGGTGAATCCTCCAACTGTTACAAAACCTTTATTACAGTATATTGTTATAATTGTCGTATTTTATGATTAGCCATTGTTGTTAGTCTCTTGTGCCTAATAACATCTACATTAAGGGTGAATCCTCCAACTGTTACATAACCTTTATTACAGTATATTGTTATAATTGTCGTATTTTATTATTAGCCATTGTTGTTAGTCTCTTGTGCCTAATAACATCTACATTAAGGGCGAATCCTCCAACTGTTACATAACCTTTATTACAGTATATTGTTATAATTGTCGTATTTTATTATTAGCCATTGTTGTTAGTCTCTTGTGCCTAATAACATCTACATTAAGGGTGAATCCTCCGACTGTTACATAACCTTTATTACAGTATATTGTTATAATTGTCGTATTTTATTATTAGCCATTGTTGTTAGTCTCTTGTGCCTAATAACATCTACATTAAGGGCGAATCCTCCAACTGTTACATAACCTTTATTACAGTATATTGTTATAATTGTCGTATTTTATTATTAGCCATTGTTGTTAGTCTCTTGTGCCTAATAACATCTACATTAAGGGTGAATCCTCCAACTGTTACATAACCTTTATTACAGTATATTGTTATAATTGTCGTATTTTATTATTAGCCATTGTTGTTAGTCTCTTGTGCCTAATAACATCTACATTAAGGGCGAATCCTCCAACTGTTACATAACCTTTATTACAGTATATTGTTATAATTGTCGTATTTTATTATTAGCCATTGCTGTTAGTCTCTTGTGCCTAATAACATCTACATTAAGGGCGAATCCTCCAACTGTTACATAACCTTTATTACAGTATATTGTTATAATTGTCGTATTTTTTTTTATTAGCCATTATTGTTGATATCTTCTGCTTAATAAACATCTACAGTAAGGAGAATCATCTCGCTGTTACATAACCTTTATTTTAGTTTTTTTTTATAAGTCGTATTTATTTTAGAATTGTTTTAGTCTTTTTTCCATCATTTTTTGTAATTACGATCCTAGAAGATCTAACCTTAATAGTGAATGTTGTTATAACCAAGACACAAATTTATTGTTGATTGTATTTGATCCCTTGGTCCTTACATAAAATTTCACCATTCCTGGCAGATTTTCCTAATGTCACAGTGTGGAATACGTGATTACAAAAATTGTTATGATGGAAAATTTTTATTATTAGCCAAAAGATCTAAATAAATTCAACTGTTATATAAAAAAAATATTGTTATAATTGTCAATTTTATTAAAATTCTCAGCACCCCTCTGTCGTGATCATGTGAAGTGCTACCAACATAACAAATTTAGTCTGATGAAGACCTGAAGGACGAAACGCGTCACAAGTCAACTTTTTTCACTTTGTCATACAATTTTCCAAATTATTAGTCATAGTCTCTAATTGTACCTTATAAGATCTACAGTAGGAATGAATCTTCCATTCGTCACATAACTGTTATTAGAGTCTATTGTTATAATTGTTCAGTTTTATTATTCATTATTGTTGTTAAGCTTTTCTTTTTTATAGTCAATTTATTTAGAACTGTTTCTCTTTTTCCATCATTTTTTGACGTATAAAGCGGAAATAATGTAAACCAAGTTAAATCCGTCGAGTGTTTCAACCCTATCCAAAATGATGTCTTGGTACATAAGCCCCGTCGATAAGGAATACTGTACATTTTCTTAAACTTAACATTTCCTAATATATTTACCATAAATTATTACATAATTGATTATCATATCAAGTAATCTCTTTGCACATGAAAAGAACACAATTTGAATTTCTCTCACATAGAAATTTGGGGCACTTCATAAATAAAGCATTTTGGGTTGCGTGCGGCAGAACGATTACTTGTAGGATGTCATTGTCCTCACTAAGTGCACTACTTGATTGGCCTTGTGACAGACAAAGCTAAGATTAGTAATCTATAATTGTGTTATGGTTTATCAACCTTTTGCAGTCTATTTAAAGCCAGAAAATATTTTTAGATTATAAGATTTTTTTTTGTTTTGGAGACAATGATTTAGTGATACAAGCTCTACTAATTAACCCATAGGTGGAGGAAAAAGTAAATTCATACCTTTCCACGGTGTAAGTGAATATAACGAACCCAACTGGAATTAGAACTCGGCTCTCCGATCAGCAATTCCGAGCAATTATCCATTACATCACCCGCACATTACAGCACGTGTCATTTCCAAGCGGTCACCCATATAGGCACTGGGCAAGATCGACCTTGCTTAACTTCGGTAATCGCACGGAAACCGGTGTTTCAATGTGATGTGGCCGTAAGCCCAGATATATCCAGGATGATGACCAGTGCGGCAATATTTGACGACGGTAGGCCTACTAGTATTAATCAGAAGCTGGGGTTTTTTGGAGATAATAATAATTGGGGTGGGGGGGGAAGAGATGGATTCATACCGGGTATTTGCGCGTAAGTGGATATAACGAACCCGACTGGAATTGGAACACGACTCACCGATTTCCACTTCCGAGACGTTACCCATCGAATATCCAAAATTTAAAGCACTTGGTATTCCCAAGCGGTCACTGATCTAGGTACAAAGTTGCTTAACTTCGATCGTACAAGAGCCGGTGTTTTAAAGCGATATATGGCCGCAAACTAGTGATCTATAAAATAATTTAATATCAGCAAATTACACAGCGATGCAACAATAGTATTCTTTCATTTAAAAGTGAAGATTGAAAACAATGCAGATTATTTTCTCGTATGTGAAACTTTTTTTTACCTTTAAAATAAAACGTCAAAATGTAAATCTGATTAAACAGAAAATTAAAAAAAAAACCCTGTAGATTTGAAACTGTTATCACCAGTCCTAAGCGTCATTTCATGTATATATCTATATATAAAATTCTGTTACTTCCGTTAGTTTGTCGGTCTGTCCTTCACACCATCTAAAATAGCTATACATTAACAGATCGAAACCAAATTTTAAAGAGAAGTGCAAACAGGTAAGGGGTAGTGTTATGGTCCAGGTTAGGACCAAGGAAGAACAACACGAACACAAGAGTAGAAATAACGAAGGTATATTACACGAAATAATAATACAAGATGTGGAAGGTGTTAGTATGACTGTCAGTCTGGTTTGGAATGAACTACTATCGGCTCGACTCGATTCGGTATCTAGCCCCGCCACCCCACGAGGGTTGCATGTGGCACAAGGCCGAGTTTAATGTGGGTTTTCCGAGCCCGTAGCCTCGGCCAAAAAATGCCCGTAGAAACTGTAAAAACAGAATCGGGTTGGTCAACCTCCCCGAACGAGATTCTGCCCTTCGGAGGAGACTCGTCCGGGTTCCTATCTGCTCAGAGGCAGAGAGTTCGACCGTCAAGCCTAGAAGCTCGGCTCGATTCGGTATCTAGCTCCCCCCCCACGAGGGTTGCATGTGCCACAAGGCCGAGTTTAACGTGGGTTTCCCGAGCCCGTAGGCTCGGCCAAAAAAATGCCCGTAGAACCCGTATAAATGAGATCGGGTTGGTCGACCTCCCCGAACGAGACTCTGCCCTTCGGGGGAGCCTCGTCCGGGTTCCTCACTGCTTAGAGGCAGAGAGTTCGACCGTCAAGCCTAGAAGCTCGGCTCGATTCGGTATCTAGCTCCCCCTCCACGAGGGTTGCATGTGCCACAAGGCCGAGTTTAAAGTGGGTTTCCCGAGCCCGTAGGCTCGGCCAAAAAAATGCCCGTAGAACCCGTATAAATGGGATCGGGTTGGTCGACCTCCACGAACGAGACTCTGCCCTTCGGGGGAGCCTCGTCCGGGTTCCTCTCTGCTCAGAGGCAGAGAGTTCGACGATATTTACTTGACTCCCACAGGGTCAGGATGTGACACAAGGTCGTTTAACGTGGGAGACCCGAGCGTTTCCACTCAAGGGCCACTGGTCCAAAACTGGTCATAGCATGTCCAAGCTGGTCAGAGCTTAGTCAAAGCTGATCATGACTTGTCCTAGCAGGTCCAGGCCCGAGCCAGTCCAAGCTAGTCGAAGCCTTGATCGAATCTCAGCCAAAGGCCGAGAAACGATCCAATATTTGTCAAAACTCGACGAAATTCGTCGAGTTCGATCTCAGGCATAGAGTTCGACCGTCAAGCCGTTTGAGAGGCGTAGTATACATAGTGTTAGGAAGAGTTCATTCTGTAGTTATAGGTAAGAACCCATGACAGGTAGAAAATACAATTATTTTTACTAGGGTACGTAACTTAGTACAATAAATTTTCATTCATTTTTTGGGGAAAAATTAAAAGCTTTATTATTTAACATACAAAATATCCCGACAATTTTAAAAATAATTTAATGGTTAAAATAACAAATACTTATTTGATAAAAATGCAATATTGATTTTTTTTTCATATCTTTTCTTTATGTTTTTATATATATTTAATTCCGGTAAAATATAATGCACAGTAATAGCACTGTATATATAAACACAGTAGGGACCGTAGACTTTGTAAATCTCGACAAAAAATCTTACGGATAACTTTAACAATACTAAATACTGTGATGATTTCAACACGCGTGAGGGTGTTGCAAAAAATTCTAGTCCTTGAATTAAAGGCTTCTTTTTCGTAGACTATGTGATTTACATTGGTTTCCTAATAATGAAGCATACTGCAACATATTCAGTAATGTGGCGTGACCGAAGAGGGTCATGGCGAGCGCGATCAAAGTACACGTTTTATATTCAATAACACGAAAACATGACACGTGGCCAATTAAGGACATGTTGACAGGTGCTGGTTTGAATTTGTCCAGTGGATGGATATATAGGGCAGTCAGTCGGCGCAAGTGGCGGGGAGTTACAATCCACACCATTGAAAGTTGCATGGCTATTTGAAATAAAGAACTTGTTCGATTACTCTCTCTTGTTTCAACTCTATCTATCTCTTGTTCTACAGTCAACGGCCAGAGTAAAGAAAACGCTATAAAAAGTAAATTTCAAAAAAAGAAAGACAGAAACAATGTAAGATTTTTTTTTACATTTGTTTTTTTTATGACCACCTGTTTATATCACAATATATAGGCATATGTCAATCTTAACGAAGAACAACGTCATACCCGCCAAATTGGCTTTTCTCAGTGGCATACGTTTCAATAGATCTTAAGCGTGATAGCAATGGTCTACAATAAGATTATAAAAAATAGCCTGAAGTGGACAACTAGTGAACAATTATAGACCAGTGTAGACATTTATTGCTTTAATTGATAACAAGCTTTTTATTTGTCATTTTGACCGCCTTAATTTTCGTCATTAGAACACTTGTAGTTTTTCTGAAAAAAAAATGAAGTTATAAAAATGCTATTTGAATTTATAGCAATAATAATGAATAGGGAGGCACGGTGGAATAAAAGATAGAGGCTCAGAATGGGGAATCGGAGATCCGAGTTCGAATTTTAGTCGAGTACATTAAATTCATTTACGTGCTAATGACCTTGGGAAAAGTATCAATCCATCTCTTCTTCCCCCAGCTATGGGTTAAAATCATGACAGGCTGGGTGCTAGAGCTCTGGGTGTCACCTAGGAGAAGGACAGCTCTTTTTTGAATTCAAAACCCGAGTGCCTAGTGTAGGGTTAGACGGTGACTGACATCTTATTACGTGGTTTTGCTAAATGTGAATGTAAAATAATTCTTTATAGACATTTACTCATTTTGGAAAGCAGCATATATATTTGACTGCAGTTTGGATATTTCAGAGGGCTATGTTAGAAAGCCCCAAGCCTCTCTCTGTCTGTTTTACAAATACTTTCATGGCAATTGCTCCGAGGAGCTGCATTCGCTGGTTCCCAGACTTCATGAATTCAAGCGCCCTACGAGGCTGGCATCCAGCTCTCACTCTTTCACTGTCGAAACTCCTAAATGTAGCTGTCTCTTCTACTCTAATAGCTTCATGTCTCTCGCCTGTGGAACTCCCTTCCCTATTCCAGTTTCCCTGAGAGCTATAATCTCCAGCTATTCAAATGTAATGTCAATCGACATCTCCAGTTGCCTTGATTTATCCACTACCCTCATCCTTTCTTCTATCACTGCTATCTGATCTTGCTCTAAATTTTCTGTAACCCCTTGCGTCCTAGTGGCTTCTCGCCTTGCTTGGGGTGAAACGCTTAAAAAAAAAAAGAAAAAAAAAAAAAAAAAAAAGATTGTAGTGATCAGGGAAACATCGTGCCGGGAGTCAATTCCACAAGCCTGTGGTGGTTCGTAGAAAGAAGCTGCCCAAATGGAACTTACTTGTCACTGATGGAATACAGAGGTCGATCAAGAGTTTGAAGAGGAAATGGTCGCCGCCAAGCAATCTGAAAGCCCATCTCTTCTCTCCCAAGAGCTTGGAAAGGAGAAGGGCACCGCCAAGATGTTTTAAAGTCCACTGAAAGGATCATGAGTTGGAAGATTCAAAATCTGTTTCTTCTGCACTAAGGTCATTAAGGACTATGGAAGCAGGGAGGTAAAAAATTTAAAATAATGAATGAATAAATAAATGACAAGTCGAAAAACGTACTGTGAAAGGTTTCGTTCAGAAAAAGAACGTCTTTAGACAATATAACAGTTGCTAAAATGAAAACAACTCTATAAACAAAAAGAGAAACATGTGACAAATTCGGGTTAAATATTGCCTTCCAAACGTTAAAGGCGTTGACACGTTCATTTCACTCCAAACAAGGCGGGAGTGCCACCAGTACGCAGGGGGTTACAGAGAGTGAAAAAAAACTGGTTACAGGTGGGGATTGAGGAAAGGATAAATGATGAACGGGGTTCAGAAGATGGTGATTGACGTTGCCTTTTACATTTTTGAAGATTTTAGTTTTCAGGGAAGCAAGTAAGCGGAAGGGAGTTCCACTGTCGGGAAGTGCGAGTAAAGAAACTGTTGGACTAGAAGTGCTGGTTGCATTTAACTATTTCAACAGTAAGAAGGTGGGACCTAGATGCCAATCTAGTAACACGCTTAAATTCATAGCTCGTCAGTGCAGTTGCCATGAAAATATTTTTTTGAAAAGACAGAGGGAAGTCACATCACATCTTTAAGAAATTGACTGAAATCGAGATGTCAAGTCAGGACTGATTACATTGCAGATGCTTCTTTGGATTTTGTCGAGATGCTCGAGATGAACAACAGGGTCACCAGACCAGATATGGTAACAATATTCAATGCATGGACGAATGGTAGATTTGTAGACGTGTAAGACAGGAGGCACCGTGTAGTAATGGATAGCGGCTCGAATCCATTACATTCACTTATGTGCTAATACCCTTGGAAAATGTATGAATCCTCTTCTTCTCGCCC